TCAACTCCCAGAATTCCCCAGCCAGCATGCTGGCTGAGGAATTCTGGGAGTTGAAGTCCATGCATCTTAAAGTTGCCACGGTTGAGAAACACTGCTACAGGGGAAGCAAAGATGTCCACAGGGGCAGGTTAAAAAAGACAAAATGGCGGCTGCAAGGGCTCACTTGAAGGGCTGTCATTTTGTTTCCATCACACGTTGCCCTGTGTGTAAAAAGGAGGTGGGGTTTTGATCTTGTGGTTGTAGCCACCCTCTTGACTTTCTTGACACCCCCCCCATGGTTCCTCCTAGTGGAAAAGCAGTTTTAGGTAGGAAGAAAAAAAGTTGCCCTCTTCTAAATCAAAGATACACAACATTTTTTCACTTGGCTTTGGCCATGCAGTTCAGAAAGGTTGGAAGGGAGAGGATCATGAAGAGGGTAGGGCCAGGAGAAAAGCTACATGAAATAAAGTTTAATTAAAATATATAAACTAATTAAATACAGCAGCTATGACTACTCCTCATGTATTTAAGCATTTCCTCCTTTACGGCATTAAAAGCTACCATTGGGCGGCTACGTTTGGAAGGGCTTCAGGGGCCTCACCCAACTTTTTCAGGATGGCAGGCAATTTGGGAGTAGCGGTTGTGTGTCTCTGCTCTGGAGAAGTGTGTTGTTTTGGGGAATAATTGAGTGAGCTTGGAATAAGGTAATGAGCATGACGAAGTTGATTCATTGAGCTGTGGTTGAAGGCAGAACTGCAGGGGCTCCTTGAGAACTTGGCAATTTTAAGTTGAAAGGGTATCGATTCACTTAATTGGAGGTCTTAGGACACCCCAGTTGGTCTGGAACTAAAACTAAGAGCAGCTTCTACCTGGGAGCCCTGGCTTAATATATGTGAATCTGGTGTGGAGAGCTCATGAATGACATCTGGCTCACAGATGCCTGTCTCCTGACTCCCTCTGCTTATCTCTGTCCTTATGTCTGGACACTTATTTCTGTCCTTATGTTATGGACACTTCTGGGCCATACTGGCTGGGGAATTCTGGGAGTTGAAGTCCACTCATCTTAAAGTGGCCAAGTTTGGACAACACTGTCATAGGAGGTTCTGATATAGGCCGAAGATGATGATAGCTAATTGAACACAACTACAATAGAAACCTTAAGAGAACTTAAAAAAAACAAACAAACTTCTAAGTAATGCTGAAGCACACATAAAAATGGATGAATGTTAGAGTACTATACCCATAACTGCCATTTTAGTAAGATGATAATGGCTGTAGATAGTTTGGTCATTTTTTTTTAATTACTGGTATTACCACAATGTAATCGTATGTTATGTCCAGAGAGCGTCATGTTCCCAATCACCTTCACTGACCCCTTTCTGAATTGCTAGTGAATGGAAAAGTATTGATACGTTCAGAGATGTATGGCATTACAGCAGCCTGGGCTAGAACACAGCGCCTCTGCCATTTCACGTTACTTTAGTACAGTCCTGTTCATTTCTACTTAAAAATAACTATAGTTACATTGCTAAAATCAAAGTATTTGATTTTAAAATATTAAAAAGGTGACGTTATTTAAAAAGGT